ATTTTGGCAGACAAAGACCTGACCTCAATCATTCCTGCTTTCTTCACCTCTTGGCTGGAGTACAGCAATGTGATATACTTAAGCATGAACCTTCAACACTTAGGAAACTCCAACAGTACACAACACCACAGCACGTCTCCTCAGCCACACAGGCTATGGTGAGCAAATCACACCTGTCCTCTGCTCCCTGCACTGGCTTCCCACAGAATATCAAATCAAGTTCAAAGATTTGGGCCTTATTGTCAAAGTGCTCCATGGCCTGGGCCCAGGACACCTAAAAGAGAGTCTACAGCTCTGGGATGAAGACCGCAGTTAATAACTTCACTTCTCTGGTACAATGGAAAGTTCAACAATAAGAGTGAAGCTCCTCTGTGTGGGAGACCAAATCTTCTTGGAGGGTGGTCAGAGACCGGAATGAACTTGCTCAGGAACTAAAGACCATCACAAACCTGACCACTTTCTGCTCCAAGTGAAAGGCACATTTCTGTGACCATGCCTTCTCCAATACAAACATATAGCAACAGGTACATTTATTTATTTAAAAAAAACAAAATAAGAAAACTCCAATCCCTATCAAAATCCAACACTACTAAAACAATCGTCTCCCACTGGGGCGAGGATGAGAGAACAAAATGCTCAATAGATGTGTAATCATATTGCTTAATGCACTACTGGAAGGTGCTCAGAGTATGTCTACACTGCAGTCAAAAACCTGCCGCACTGAGTCTCAAAGCCCAGGTCAGCTGACTGGGGCTCAGGCTATGGGGCTAAAAACAGCAGGGTAGGTAGCCAGGCTTTAGCTGGAGCCTGGCTCTGAGACCCCGCCCCGGGTCTTGGAGCCCAGGCTCCAGTCCAAGCAAGCCTCTAACATGGCTGTTTTTGACCCAGCAGCCCAAGTCCACTGACCTAACCGTGGCTGTGCAGCAGGTCTTTTACTGCAGTGTAGACCCCCTCCAATACGAGTGATAAGAGCAGTATAAGAATCTATAGCACACATACCTTTAGATATGCTGATATGTCGATAAGACCATTAAACAACATAATGAGCACAAACAACTATTTTTGTCAACAAATAGTTAAGTGTCATTGCTAGTCCAGGACCTAAAAAAATTATATGAAAATGTTTCTGGCCCTCACAGTTCGGAAGAAACCCTTGAAGAAGTGATCCAGGTGTAACAGTCTCTCAAATATAAATCCTAGACCAAGGATAAAGAACAGACCCTGAGTAACAGTGTGTTAGTAAAAAATTAACATTCATACATTTAAAAAATGGTTTAGGCCACAGATATTGCTACAATATAGCATTGGGGTAGTTCTGCTGTAAAAAGTGTTAGATCCCCAACAGGAGAAAGCTTTAAAAAGCACTCGGGTTTTTTTGGCCAATGCTCAAAAGCTTTAGGCTTCCAAATTCTCCCAAATTCATGTGAAAATATCATAGAACTGGAAGGGACCTCAAGAAGTCATCTAGACCAGTCCCCTACATTCAAGCAGGACTAAGTATTATCTAGACCAGCGTTTCTCAAATTGGGGTCTGCAAGGGTATGCCAAGGGAGGGGGGGACTCAGTGGGCTCTGCTGATCAACTCCTCCCAGCACTTCCTGCATGCTGCGGAACAGCTGTTCAGCGGTATGTAGGAGGCACTAGGAGGGAGGGGGAGGCACACGGAGGGGGTGCGCTCAGGGGAGGAGCGGAATCATGTCCAAGGCTGCTGGCCCCCGCTGATCAACTCCTCCTCCCTCCCAGTGCTTCCTGCATGCTGCAGAACAGCTGTTCCTCACCGTGCAGGAGGCACTGGAAGGGAAGGTGAGGAGTTGATCAATGGGGCCGCTGGACCCCGGAATACCCTCGGTTCCCTGGCGTTCTCTCTCCTTTTCACTGGCACTCACTATGTTAGATGTCTAATTGCTACTCAGCTTTTTGGTTAAAAAAAAAAAAAAAAAAAAAAAAGTCATTTAACACTTCTGTCATTTCCACATTTTCTCTTATTGTTTCCCCATCCCTCACTGAATAACGGGCCTACCCTGTCCTTGGTCTTCCTCTTGCTTCTAATGTATTTGTAGAATGTTTTGTTAAATTTTATGTCTCTAGCTAGTTTAATCTCATTTTGTGCCTTGGTCTTTCTAATTTTGTCCTACTTGTTTATATTCATCCTTTGTAATTTCCACTTTTTGTAGGATTCTTTTTTAATTTCAGATAATTGAAGATCGCCTGATTAAGTCATGATGTTCTCTTGCCATACCTCCAGTCTTTCCTGTACAGTGGGATAATTTGCTCTTGTGCCCTTAATAATGTCTCTTTGAAAAACTGCCAACTCTCAAACTGTTTTTCCCCTTAGACTTGCTTCCCAAGGTATCTTACTTACCAACTCCCCAAGTTTGATAAAGTCTGCCTTCTTGAAATCCATTTTGTTAATTGTGCTGTGTTTCCTCCCATCATTCCTTAGCATCACAAAATCTATCATTTCATGATCACGTTCACCCAAGTGGCCTTTCACTTTTAAACTCTCAACCAGTTCTTTCCTATTTGACAAAATCAAACTTAGAACAGTCTCTCCCCTAGTGGCTTTCTCCACCTTCTGAAATAAAAAATTGTCTCCAATACATTCCAAGAACTTGTTGGATAATCTGTGCCCTGCTGTGTTATTTTCCCCCAGTAGATGTCTGAGTAGTTGAAGTCCCCCATTACCATCAAGTCCTGTGCTTTGCATGATATTGTCTTTATATAAAAAGAAAGCCTCATCCACCCCCTCTTCCTCGTTAGGTGGTCTGTAGTAGACGCCTGCCCTGACATCACCCTTGTTTTTTTTTTTTTTTTTACCCTTTTTAGTCTTACCCAGAGACATTCAACAAGTCTGTCTCCTATTTCCATCCAGTCAAAGTGTATACATTTTTTATACAAAAGGCAACGCCACTTTTTTCCCCCCGCCTATCCTTCCTGAGCAAGCTGTACCCTGCCACACCAATATTCCAGCCTGTATGCATTATCCCACCAAGTCTCTGTGATGCCAGCTATGTCATAGTTGTGTTTATTAACTAGCATTTCTAGTTCTTCCTGCTTATTCCCCATATTTCTTGGATTAGTATACAGACATCTAAGATACTGACCTGTGTTCTGTAGTCTCAGAGTGCCAAAGAGGAAAAAAGCATTTTCACCCCCCGATATGAAATATAACTTAAACGGAGGAGACTGATTGTTTCACTGGCTCTCCAGCACTGCATCTCTCTTTCTCAGCCTGACTCTTGGTCTGGTCCTCAGTCCCAACACTAAATTTATACACCCACCCACCCCATGTATCATTTAATTTGCTCATATTTATAATTTTTCAGTCTAATGTATGGTAAGATCTCAATTTTAAGAGAATTATTAAATAAGGCCCCAATGGCAGGTCAGTTAAGGTTGTGCACTGTAGTACAGTTAGCTATTGTGTAGAATTCAGCTATTTGGATCAGGCTTAAACCTTGCTAGTACTCTCTCACTGATATTTTGATAATGAAATGGAAAGCAGCAGCATGAATAAAACAATCTAGGCTATTAACATGTATAAAAACAAAGTTCAGGAAACAGCCCTTACCAATTAGGCTCATTCACTATCACTGGGGCAGTCAGGCAGTTATTGCAAGATCATAACACTTTGCTGTTCAAACAAAAAAAGATTTTACAACCATCCTCTAACTGAATTTTGCTCCTGCCACTTAATGCAGAATATTACCTTTAAGAGACTTGCAGCTGGTATGGATAGGCAAAGAATAATTTGTCATCTATCCACATGGATGCCAATGATCCAGGTGCAAACAAAGGTGGACAGATGCTTATTAGGGGAAAATAAGGCAACTATCACCTAAACGTTAGTAAGCAAGAGAGCTCAGATTATTTTTGCTTTGTGACATTTCTAGCAGGGTTCAGGTGTTAAAACAGTAAATGTTTATTGCAACAGGGTGAAACTTCATCATGTGTGATGAGAAATATTTTCACAGATAAAGTTAATGTACACCCTCAAAAATAACTGAGGCAAAGACCAGGTGTAGCAGGAGCTCAAGTAGTAGCTAACTTTGAAGGTGTCACCTGCCCATTTTATAGTCAGTTATTGCCTGGATATGATCGACATAGGAGAGATAGTGTGGCAAAGATGCCCAAAGCTCACTTCTTTCATGGAGCTGGTTTCCTTTAAATGGTCAGGTTCTGTAACTAGTTTAACTCACTAAGTGAAAAAGGATCCTGTGTCGGCCTCATCCAAAAAGACTAGGAATCTTCAAAATTAAAAGCCAAGGAAACGTAAGTGCCCCATACGGGACTTGGAGACTAGGGCTCCAGTTCAGCAAGGTCCTTAAGAATGTGCCTAACTCAACACACTGGTAATGCCATTGAAGCTCATAAGCATACGCCTAACTCTAAGTACATGCTTAAATACCTAGATGAACTTTAATATTTCTAGAGAAAGCAAGCTTGTGCCATAACCTTGCAGTATCATTTAATTCCTTTCAAATCACAAGCCGTCTAGCTGCTAATATTAACAGTACATACTTCCATGGAATTTGTAACGGAGGAGAATGGCAGTGATACATTTATGTCAAGAAATATTCTGGGCTAGCGAGTGTCTGAGACTAGTGTCTCAAATGCTGTGCAGGACAAAGTAGCAAGTCAGTTTGCTCAAAAGGCCTTGGAAAGGACAGGAAGAATTTGAGATCTAATCAGGGCTTCATTTAGGGGTGAGGAAAGAGACAGGAATGTCCAGTCACCCAGCACGCATTCACTCCATGTCACTGCTCCGTATTAAATCATGTGCATCTTCATTAGATGCACGAAGATTAGCTTTTTGGTTCTTAGATATTCTTATAATGAAATTCCTCAGAATAACTCAATATAGATATCTTTGAACAATCCTTCATTTGAACGGTAGTTACTTTATCTGAACTACTCTGGATCCGCACTGTGCAATCACCTATAGAATCTCTAGGATACAGACGTTAGTTATTACTAAGCAATACGTGCTACAACAAGTGTTAAATCATGAAAAATTTATTATAGTTTTATATATATATATGAAGTTAAAAGTTCAGTCATTAGTGTTTGTGAAAAAGCATTTTAGTTAGACATGAACCTGCTAGTGTCAGTAGCTAAACAGAGATTAAATGTAAGATGAGTGTTTTGCCTCAATTTTGTAACTCACTATCAATATGCTTATACAGAATTCATCTTCCTGTTAGAATGCCAAGAATAGTCATTTTGCAACATTTACATTCCTCATATTAAATGTGTAATATACATATTCAGCTTGCTGCAGAGAGATATAAACATGTACAAAATAAACATTATTGTAGTTAACATACTTCGACCAGGTTTTTTTTTTTTTATTAGCAACAAATCAAAAGCAGATGCACAAAAATTAAAAGTCAGAATGATTTTAAAAACCTTTTGGACATTTGTGACCATTAATTTGTATTTAAAAACAGAAGAAATAAAGGCTTGTGTTTGGAGCCTTTTATGGGTCTCCAATAATAGTTATTTTTAATTAAAACCAAACAGTCAAACAACAAAAAATAATCAGACACCATGATCAGCTAGTCTGCTAACGTCCATCTTGATCACAAATGGATAACAATGTAAAAAGAACACATTTGTTCACAGAGTATAAAATATTGCACAAGAGCAGTTTCTTTGAAGAAAAGATTTCCCAAGTTTATGAACTGCAAAATTGTTATGCATTTAAAGAAATTATGTATTTGCATTTTCTAAAACAAGGAACATTCAGTAATACTGTTAGAAGTGTCATCCATCAACTTCTTCCCAACCTACTCTCTAGTATGTCAGTAATGACAATTTGGCAAAGGTAGAAGGCAAACAGTAAAGTGTGTATACATATATACATATATTATATATAAAATATGTCAGACAAGCCACAATAGCTATCTAATCCAAGAGCTGGGCATTTTTAGTCATTTGACAACCTAACCCTTAAAAGAATGCTGAAGTCTTAGATGCTAGTCACAGTGATGATCACACAGTAGTAGAGTAGGATTCCAGTCTTTGCTGGTTCTTTCGCTTTGGAATAATCTTGTCCGTATCTCCAGTATCTAGGACACCGTCTTCAGTATCACTGTCACTGCTATCTATCACAGGTGGGTCCAAAGTCATCTGTCCAGTCCTTCTGTGTAAATGAAAATGGACCCCACCCTCCTGTATGGAGTTACTTATAAAATCTTCATCAGAAGAATGAAATGACTCATCTCCTATCAAATGGTTGACAATGTGAATCCCATCAAAAGTGGGTTGGTCTGAGAAGCCTTTCTGGCCTTTTAGGCATCTGATCTGTTAAAAACAAGAGTTAACATTTAATCACAGATGAAGAGTCCAGCAATAGGAATAAAAACAACATGTTTGAGAAATAAAGTATCCTTGACATTCAGTGATTTCTAAATGCAAGCAGGACCAAGATTGCCAAGAGTTACTAAAGTCTGAATGTCCAAGAAGAGAAACTTCAGAAAGGGGTCGAGTGGATACTCTGCACTTTTTGAAATCAGGCTCTTTAGGATGTTTCAGGTTTGGTACCAAAAAGCACTAATCGTACTCCTGAAAATTTTAAACAGTATGTACAAGTTCCTCTGGTTACTGAGGCTAAATCTTGTGTCTTTGGACATCCCCACTGAGAAAATACTACAGCTGTGGGATTTCAGGTAGCCCTATTTATTACTTGACAGTCACTACTTTTCTGTATTTCCTTTTGTGTATTATCTCAGGAAGGGTTTTTTGTGCTTGTCATCTAATTTGAAAAAAAAAAACAAGGCGAAAAGCTTCTGTTGGGGGGGGGGGGCGATTGCCAAATGTTTTGTGGAAGAGCAAGTAAACAGCATTCAAGAGCAATAAAATCGGTTCTCTCCACCTTGAAAGATAAAGAGCATCATTTCTCCCCACCCACTCAACCTCCAATGAACCACAGCATGAAGGTTTTAACCTGCATTCTTACTCTGAAACTTACCTTTCCTGTCAGTAGAACAGACTACTCTCAATTTTAAAGAGAAATGTCTTACAAAACAAAACTGGTTGGGACACAGGTAAAGTGTACTTAGTATTTGCATTTAAAGTACACTGAACTTTAGTGATAAGCTAGCTACTATGACCACAGGTTTAAGCTACTCTGAAGGAAGAAAAAAAACTGATGAGCAAGTCACATCATAACTTAGTGAAACTAATCTTAGCTGTTGGAAGATGTCTGAGATTAGTTCTTAGAATTTCACCTGAACAAGCAAACTCATGCAGGGTTCAGTCATACATTTTGCTAAGACTGTGATAGTAATACAGTTACATGCTTTTAAGTAGAAGCATCTGCAGGCACCTGTGTCTGCGTGACACAGCCAACTGGGGCTGAGCAAGCCAGTTGGTGGAAAATACAGAAGTGGCCAAAACCTTGCTCCATCCCAAACCCTGAACTTGAGTCTGGATAAGCAGCCTCTCCTTAGGATCTTTCTATCCTCCAATACTAGCCAATTCTGCATAGCGTAGGAAGCAGTCACTTTAAAAAACCTGGAAGATAGATTTTATCCTGCAAAGTTTAGCTTTACATCTTGGGGCTGCCAATCTGGATTCACTTCTTTGAGCAATGAAAACTGTTTTGGAAGCTTGAAGTCCCAAAGCCTATTTGAACTTGTTAAAAATGTGAATATTGCTATTTAACCCTAAATGACCTGAAGTGAAATGTCAGTGCACTAACCTACTGCAAAACCTGGACTTTTCCACAATAGAATAAAAAACAGCAAGTTTTAATGTAAAACAGAAAACATTCCAATACAATTTGTTGCTTTTTAACTGAAGGAAGTAAAAAATAATCTGAATTGTACTATCATCGAATTTCATTCTTTTCTAGAAATGAGTGACTGTTAGAGAACTGAAATCCTTAAAACAGCTACCGTTCAAGAGATAATTTTAAGGGTATCGCTGTCCAAAATTCAAGGCAGTGCATAACATCAGCGCAAAAAGAGTGCTTAGATACTTACTACTCAGTAGGCTTACGAGCTATAGGTCTGTAGATGCTCGTTACCAAAGCATACATTGCACAGATCCTCTAGTCCTTCCCTTCGCCCAGTGATTTGCTATGGACTGAAGGCTTACTCGGTATGTGTAAAATTTAAAATTCAGCATGACATGCCTGTGCTCTGAGGGGATCAGATGCCACAGTAGCTGGTACTAATTTAAGAAACTAAATGGATAGTACCTTTTAATTTGAGGATCTACAGAACCATACAGCTCTTTACAAAATGTAGTGACCCGAGGTGCAGCACATCTGACAGGTAAGCCATATTCTCTAGTTTATAATTTGGGAAAATGAAACAGATAGAAATTAAGTGATTTGTTAAGGTCATGAAGTCCAGTCAAGAGCCAGGAATTAAACCTAGGTTTTCCAGTCCCATCTGTGACCATAAGATCATTTCCTCTGGGAAGAAAGAGGGTTAGCCCTTCAAGGACAGCCCAGATTGAGTAGGAGCTGGAGTTACATCCCTGGGGCACAGCACAGCCATTGCCAGGCACTGGAGCCCTTCTTTGTGAGGGAGGTCACCATTGGTTAAATCCCAGTCCTCCTTTCAAGTGCTGTGATTGGCTTTTCTGCCCACAAAGACGTTCATTTTTCATTCCTCTCCTCTGCTCCATTTCTAGAAGACTGGGTGGTTGCTTCATGCAGTGGTTCTGTGGGGGCTCTGGCCTGATCAGGCTTGGGAATACAAGAGGTCCGGTAGACCCACAAACATTAGGAGGGAGGCCTTTAATAGTTTATGGTGACAGTAGCTTTACCCACACTTTCACTGCTGCCTAGACAGGCTGCCTTTAAGAGATCAAAGTTGTAGCCACATGACCAAAAAAAAGACTGTCTCCACCTTTGCTCCCTATGTGCCATTCACAAAGCTAGATGCATCAAGAACAGAACCTCAGTAGTTGACAGTATTTACTTACATAAGCCTTCTCATGTAAGAAGCCATGAATTAGAAACTTTTTGAAAACAGAATGCATGCTTAGAGTTTATGATTATAAACATTGTCAAAGGCTAATGGAACTTACATTTATTAATTCAGAGCAGTTTGAGAGAAGACAGGCATGTAATATTAACCATCGTGTCACTGGACTTTGGCAATACACTCTTACCTGAAGCTGACTGCCTCATCAAGCCATGCATGAAGGGAAGAGACAGCAAAGAGATTTTCAGGTTTTAGTACAATTCAGTTTTTCCATATTAAAGGTAGCAAAATGAAGTGTGCGGACATAAGCGCTCACACATCATATTTTTAAGATACCCCCTTTATATCTGTTTGAAGCTATTAAGGAAACATTTCTAAACAACATTAGAATGTCAGCCTACAGTAAATTTTAAAGGAAAAGATGCAATGAAAAAATGCTAGATTAATATTCTGATACTGGTAAGACTGTGATAGAGATTATGGCACAGAAGGGAGGCAGTCATTTCTGTTTCTTTTGAAGACTTTAGAAACCACAGTTCTAAAGCAGTCAAGAACTGTACTTCATGTTAGACATAAAAATGCTTGCCTAGCAGAGTCAAGCCACTCAGTAGTGATTACTGATACCGTTCTATAGTCTGGAAATTGGATCAAAGCATGGGCACTCTTTGGATTCAAGGTAGGAAAACAGATTATTCGTATTAAATCCATATGGGGGAAAAAATCAATACTGGATTATGTAAATCTTATTACAACAGGAACAGTCTGAAGAAATCAAAGCCCTTTTTTGTTCTGGACCTGAGTAAGATTTCCTGATTATAAAACAGACATGAGTCAAAAGAAAACTAAACTGTTACTGAAACTATACGAGAACCACTACATCTAATTAGAGCAGAGAACGTCATTAACATTGTAAGTGAATATTGTAAGAGAATCCAACAGAAAGCTACCATCTTAGCAGCCTCATGAGGCAGATTTAGGAGTTAAAAAAACAAACCAGATTCCATTCCATTTTTTCAGTGGAAAAGAAAACCAGGCAGTTAAGTAACAATGCAAGAGCTGTCAAGTTAAATGCTATTTAAGTTAAGCATCAGTAAAAGCAACTTAATCTGAACACATACAATTTTAAAGTTTCCTTAACTCTAATGGTGTTTAGTGGTTTAGGGGGGACGACAAAGGGGTCAGTCTGTCTGTGTGATGCTTTTGCCAGGAACAAAACGCAAAAGGAACGCAGCCTTACAACTCCTGTAAAGTTAGTAAGTAATCTAGCTAGAACATGCATTAGATTTTCTTTTGTTTAACGGCTGGTAAAATAAGCCGTGTCTTTTTGTAACTTAAGGTTTTGCCTAGAGGGATTCTCTATGTTTTGAATCGGATTACCCTGTAAGGTATTTACCATCCTGATTTTACAAAGGTGATTCTTTTACCTTTTCTTTAATTATAATTCTTCTTTTAAGATTGATTTTTCATTGTTCTTAAGAGCCAAGGATTTGGTCTGTGTTTACCTATACCAATTGGTGAGGATTCTTATCAAGCCTTCCCCAGGAAAGTGGGTGGAGGGCTTGGGGGGATATTTTGGGGGAAGACGTCTCCAAGTGGGCTCTTTCCCGGTTCTTTGTTTTAAACGCTTGGTGGCAGCAGCATACGGTTCAAGGACAAGGCAAAGTTTGTACCTTAGGGAAGTTTTTAACCTAAGCTGGTAAGAATGAACTCAGGGGGTCTTTTCATGCAGGTCCCCACATCTGTACCCTAGAGTTCAGAGTGGGGAAGAAATCTTGACATGGTGGCAGAGCGGTGGGATCATTTTGAACCAGAAGCACAGCAGGATTTTAAAAGGTTTTGTAAAAAGTGATTGCAGCTGTAGATTGTGTCTCTCTGCCTGGGAGACAGAGCAGCAGGCATAACAAAAGGATTTTTCTGTAGGCTGAGAACAGCTATCAGGTTACAGCACAGGAAAATTTTACATGCCAGGTTTTTTTGTTTTTGTTTTCTTTAACTCTTGGCTGTAAAGTTGTTAAAAACAGAGAGGTTAGGATGACAGAATGCAATGTTCAACAGAAGCTGGAATTAGCCAGATTTGAGGCTGAGGAAAGACAAAAGGAACATGAAAGATGGGTAGAACTCAGGCAGATGGAAATGGAGGCCAAAGAAATGGAAGTAAAAGAAAAAGAAAAGAAATGGAAGCAAAAGAAAAAGAAATGGAAGCTGCCCATATGAGAGCTATGGAGGCCAAAGAAAAAGAAATGGAGGCAAAGAAAAAAGAGAGAAAGCATGCACTGGAGATGGAGAAGGCAAAGGCTCAGCAGAATATACCGAATAACCCTAACAATCCTTCCCCAACAATCCACAAATGGGAGTGACTATGTC